CTGCGGCGGATGCCGGGAAACGTGCCGCTGGCCCCGCAGTGTCCGGAGCCCTCTGGAGGAGACGGACCTGTTCAAATCGAACAAAAAGTGCGACCGTGTGCTGTAACCTCATGTGGATTTGTCACCGCGGTTTCTGTTGGCGTAATCGACGGACGGTTCTCCATGAAATACAAGCAGGGTGGTTTGGGTTTAATTTTTTTTTTTTAAGTCTTTCACAGGCGGCCTATGAAGGCGATTGTAAGGTGGGGGCAGTTTTGGGTTGGACCAAAAGGTTTTACGTCGTAGTCGGGTGGGAAGTAGAGCTGGAAAAGAAGCCCATGGACTTTCTGGTGTAAATGCTTGGCCTCTTTAAAGCTTTCAGTGGCAATATTTCCAATGCATGCAGAAGGGCTCAAAGTCAGAGCTGGAACTTGGGCTATGACAGTGTCTTTGCAATTAAGGATGTTTAAGCAGAATGTATGCTGCCAACAATATGAGCTTAAAAAGCACAAATAGAGATTGAATATATCAAATTGACCTTGGTGGTCCTACGCTATGAGAGAAATAGGGTTGAGTAGTCTGTACAGCAAACCAGGGATGAAGTGCGTTGTGCTGTTCCTTCTCCCCATCCCCCCAAATTATAGGTACTATTACATTTTTGGCCATTTAGCAAACTCAGTAGCCACCCACTGTTTCCATTTATTGTAGATGCGTATGTTAGATAAAGCATGTTGGGTGATTTGTGGTGTGTGGGGTTTACTTTGTTACGTGTGGCGTTCTTTCCTTCTATAGTATAGATTCCTTGGAGAGCCTGTGGTAGAAGCTTGTGTTGAAAATGGTGCAAGCTGCATTGATATCAGTGGAGAACCCCAGGTAGGTGATAGATGAAAAATGCTGCTTTTTATGAGGGATCTATTAAAGGACTATTTGTTTAATACATTTCCTGTTTCTGCTAATGGTTTTCAACATGAGCACAAATTCTGCCTCCTGATCTACAATTTTAAGATGCATTAATTATTTTCAAGTATATGGATATGTATTAGTTGCATAGTTTTCTTACTTTTAGACGAGAGCCTTTCAGGTTTTTCTGGAAATCCAAAATGTTTGAACTCTGCTTCAAGTCTCGGTTGTGATTCTACATGGAATTGTGTGGATCACATGTCTTTGCTCTGCTGTGCTTCTCATGCTGTAAAACAGGAATAATATGTATCTTAAAGGTGCTTGTAAGTGGTTTGAGGTCTGTGGGGTGCTATGGTATGACAGTAAAGCACTCATGACTAATACTGAGCATGGCTTAACATGGAGTTCTGCTTAAAATATTTGTTCTGGCTGTGTTTTAGTTTCTGGAAGGAATGTACCTGAAGTACAACAAAAAAGCTGCAGAAAAGGGAGTGTATGTCGTTGGAAGCTGTGGCTTTGACTCAATACCAGCTGATATGGGAGTACTGTACACCAGAGACAAGTTGAAAGGTGAATTATTTAAGTGTGACTTTATGCTGAAGAAATACAGATCATGTTTTCACCTGGCTTCCTAAAGCAGCAATGCTTATGTAAAGAATTTCAGTCTCTTTTTTCATCTGCTTGTACCATCTAACCAGTTTCAACCAAATCTGGTAGATAAAAATTCAAAAGCAAATGGTGTTCCTATTAGGTTGGAAGAAACTGGTCATTAGGTAGAGGAGGGATTCAAGGTATAGGTGCTCCTGGAGAGACCAGGACTTTGGTTTGTCAGCAGCGGGTTGTTGGGCCATCATGTGGGCAGCCCTAGGCTAGCCTCAGCACACTGCCTCTTGTGCAATAAGAGCCTGCTAGGGAGGAGACAGCAGGGACAGGAAGGCTGCAGAAGAGGGTTCACAACTTAGTTGGTAATTAGATTTCCTAAGTTCTTTTTTCTCTACTGCAAGCACTGACAAGCTGCTGTATGAGTGCACATAGATAGAGCCGTACAATGCCTTTTCCTTTAGGAGCAGCTAGACAGTAACCAAAAGAGGATAAATGTATTTGAGAAAAGATTACAATGATTTAATTCTGTGCAAATAGTACTTGGTCCTGATCTCAAATGAGGATGCTTCATTCTTTGGGTCTGACTGTCAGTTGGAAGGGCAGATAAGAGTCTTTTTTTTTTCTTTTATGTACCATTAAAAGTGCTATTAAGTGGGATTGCTTTATGTTGCAGTGTGTCATCAGCTTACAGTTTAGGGAAACTCAATCTGGATCTGATTGGAGGGAGAAGAGAGGCGAGGCATGGAAATAAGTATGTCCATGTTCATGAGGTTATAATTTGATGTTTGACTTGTTTGAGTGAAGATGTCTTATCTCTTCCTGTTTTGACTAAATGGTATTACTGCCTGTCTACTCAGTTGCTTGCTATATTGAAATTTGCCCATAGAAGTTTAGTTTTAGAATCTCAGAAGGAACTGAGCAAAGCAAAACAAAGTGGAATTTGGAGGAGCTGTTTTGCTCTGCTGTTCGTCACAACTGAGCATTGTTTGTAAAACACAAGCTATGCTAAAATTGTTTTAGGATATCTTGTGTGACTTTTATTTTTTTGGTGTTTTTTTTTTAGTTCATTTTTGTAGTTAGGGTCTACCAAAATCTGTAAGACCATGTCAGTTTTCACAGCCTACCTCATCCTTTATGAAGTTCTGAAACTCCAAAGAAAATTAAGTACCGCTCTTAATATTATTTTCCTTTTTTATTCTTTGGTTATTTACATTATCTAACCAACTAGATAAGACGAATGAAAAACCTAATTAGCAAAGATGGTATTAGTGACCCTTACTGAAGTATTTTACATAAGAAATTTGAAACTTGCTGCCTAAAATAGCTGTGGAACTTAACCTTAGTTTATTTTATTTTGAGATAAAGATGTGACTCTGCCTTTTAAGCTAATAATGTCAGTGGCCTGGTATTCGAGTCTACCAGAGTGTAGCCTGGCTTTGTGAACTGATGACAATGTGCCAAGTAATGTTTTCTCCTCCCTTAAAGGTACCTTAACCGCTGTCGAAAGTTTCCTGAAGGTGAAATCTGGGCCTGAGGTTAGTTGGTTTATACCTTCTTGGAAACTGGGAGGTATTTGTGGTAACATCACTGCAGCCCATTAGAATAAGTGCCATTACATTCATTCAGACCAAAGAACAAGCTGGCAGTTCATTGATGATGGGTCCAGGAACTTTGTTCTTTAAATGCTCGTAAGAGTATCCCGAGCCAACACCCTTTTGGTAAGGTTCATTTGCACAGGCTGTCTACCTGAAGTTTGTTGTGTTGTGCTGTTCCAAGAAATACTTAGTTTTTGCAGAGAAGTGGGAGGGATTCATGCACAAGTAAATTGTGACAGATACGGAGTGGGCTGCTGCCAATAATCCTCTTGTTTGTCTGTTTGGTTTTCTTTTTTTGTTTTGTTTTGTTTGGGGGAGTTGTTTCAATATGTATTACAATTACATGCATTAAAGTATATATGTAATAATTTTAATAATGTGTAATATATGTAATAATTCTAAGGTCACTATGAAAATAAAGCAGTGATGACCCAAACCAGGCTGGTGTTGGTGCCCAGCAGTTGAACATACTGCTTCTGTCCTGAGCACCAGGTGACAGATGTGGCCCAATTCATAGCCTGTTCTTAAGAACATCTGGTGTTGATTTTTCCTATAGCAGCCCTCATAGTGCTGTGCTTTGTATTGCTGTCTAGAAAGGTGTTGATAGCACAGCAGCATTTTGACTACTGCTTGGCAGTTCTTGCACAGCAGCAAAACTGTCTGTCCAACATTTCCCCCCTCACCCAGTAGGCTGGGAGGGGTCATAAGCCAGGACAGCTGACCCAGACTGACCAAAGGGATATTCCAAACCATATGCCATCTGCTCAACAATAAAAACAGAGAGAAAGGAGGGGGGGGAGATTTGTTACTATGCCATTGGTCTCCCAGAGCAACTGCTTTGCATACTGAAGCCCTGCTTCCTGGGAAGTGGCTGGGCATCGCCTGCTGATGGGAAGAAGAGAATAAATCTTTTCTTTTCCTTTGTTTCTGTGCACAGCATTTGCCTTTTACTTTATTAATAAACTGCCTTTATCTTGACCCAGGAGGGGGTTTTTTTCCCCATCTTATTTTCTCCCTTCCCTGTCAAATTGAGGAGGGGAGTTGAGGGAGCAGCTTGGTGGGCAACTGGCATTCAGCCAAGGTCAACCCGCTACATTTCAATATACTTACATACATGTAATAATTGTAGTAATGTGTAATACATGTAATAATCCTAAGGTCATTAGTAAAAGAATGCATACTTTAGATATGAATGAATTACTGTTTCATGGTATGTCACCAGGGAGTGTGTGTGCATGATGGCACCTGGAAGTCAGCTGTTTATGGCCTTGCGGATCAAGACAACCTGAGGAAGCTTCGGAAAAAGATAGGATATGCCCCTGTTCCAGTCGTTGGTGCAAAACTTAAAAGAAGGTATAAGAAGCATAAGATGTGAAACATGCATTCTTCTAACAGTTCCAGTATTTATTATATAGATTAATATATTAAGTGCTAAAAAGATGCATTTAGAAATTCAGTATAACACAAACACATAGATGCTCATATAGTAGAATTGAAGATAAGTTTGGTTTTACTAATTTGTTGATCTTTACTGAAAAAAGAACATGTCCCAGCATTTACTGGGTCTCAAAGATAACTTGCTCTAAGAGACTTCTAGTGACATGGCAAACTTTTGAGTTTGCTTTCAGAAGTGATCAGTAGAAGAGAGAAGAGTTGAGACTGTTACTTTGATTATCAAATTCATCCTTGCTGTAGTGCATGGAATTCTGAGTTGAGCCAGGGATAAATTTGGCATTTGCTTTCAGTGAGGAGAGAGAATGTAATTAAAAAACACTTGAGAAAAAGCCAATATTGGTGGGTCTGTTATGATCACTTTCAGTTTGGTCAACATTTGGGCATTTTTCCTGATTTTTCCTGACTTCTTTTTTTTTTTTTTTTTTTTTCCCCCCCATTTGCAGAGGATTTGTGTTTTACAGTCAGGAATTCAAAGAATACTGCATTCCATTCATGGGAGCTGACGCTTCTGTCGTGAAACGGTCCCAGCGTTACTTGCACACAGAGTTGCAAGAAACACCTGTAAGCTCCATTACTGCACACTGTGCCTTTGGCAGCGTTTGCAATGAATCCTTCCTTCATGTGCAGATCTGTGTAGCAGGGTTTCTGTCATTGGGTAAACGGTAATGAACTGTGGTGTGCTTTTGCTTCTGTAAAGAAGATGGCTTGTTCTGTTGATGACCTTTGGAAGTTGCTCAACCTGATGTGGTTCAGGTTCTTCTGGGACACTGTTTCATGCTACTTGATACTCTCTGCCTGATGAGCTTGCCTGTTGCTGCTGGCATCATAGTGACAAGAGTCTCTCATAGGGTTCTCATGCTGTCTGATCTGTGGGTATGTGTTGGTAGGGAATGGAAGCCTTGAGTCACAGAAATATTTGGGAGGAAGGCTTAATAGTTTTTTGGAACGATAAATACATTAAACTCTATCCTGTGTAGAGGCATTTTTAGTTCTATCAGTGGAGCTTCTAAAAGTGTCATAATTGTAGCCTGTGTAACTGTAGTCGGGTCAGTGTAGTGTAGTAAACGTTCTGATAAAGGATTCATGTGCTGCACATCTGTATCTGGAGACTTCTTTGATGTTTGGGTCTCTAACATGCAAAGTAAAAGCAACATGGAGTGGTAGTGGTGGAAAAGACATTTAGTTCTGTTTTTGGTGGTTTCCTGATAGGAAACCAGCACCACCAGTCTGCCTAACAGCTGTGCAGAACCAGAGCCACAGGCATCAGTTCAGAGATGCGGGTGAGATAGTGCTCTAAAAATATACTTGGAAGCTACTAATGAGAAAGGCTGGCCATTGCTCTTCCAGAATTCCAGACAAAGGCCTTGACTTCTCTTCAACTAAGGCATAAAGAGGAAGAAAGGCAGATCTGGGGAAAGCGGCCTGAAATCAGATACCAAGACACATCTTCCTGGGAAGTTTTCCACTCTTGTTTACCATGCTTGCTCCTTGGCTGTTCCATACTTATATTGTCTTCTCCTAATGAATTATGAAGTGGAGCATTATTCAAAGAGTTGTTTAGAACTAGAGGCAATTGTTTAAGGCCCTATTTAAACAGCTGTCTATTGTAGCAAACTGTTGCATCCAAATTTGGAGGTAGATATTTTTTTTTTACAAATGAATCGATACAAAACTTTTCATGTAAGTTTTATCACTGAAAATGTTTTTGCCTCAGGTGCAGTATGGCGCTTATGTGAACATTGGTGGTCTTGGCTCTGTTATCAAGCTCATGTTTGCTGGTATCCTATTTCTTCTTCTTGTGAAGTTTAGCTTTGGAAGAAAACTTCTGACAAAAGTAGGTGTTCAAAACATAAATAATGGAGTGTTTGGACATACTTTTTTTTTTTTTTACTTTACTGTTGATCTTTTTTTTTTGTCTGTTTCCCACGTCCCACCCCTTATTGTCTAGTACCCGGCATTTTTCTCTGGTGGACGCTTCACAAAGGAAGGACCAACCCAGAAACAGGTAACAGACTGTTTTCCATCACAATCAGCAAATGAATTTGTTATGATAACGGTGGAATAGTAACCTAGAGTCAGCTGCTTAGTCTCAGATAATATCTAAATGCACGTTGTGTGTGCCTGTTGGGATAGCTTTGAATATTTAAATAATGATGACTAGGGAGACTGAGCAGCAAAAAACCTGGCCTGAAAGCACTGAGAGAATAAATGGACTATAGGATAATAAGTCCTAACAAAGTGGAAGCAATTAAAAATTTAGATGATACTGTACCTTTTAAGCAATGACTCGAAATAACTGCTCTCATGTTTAGATGGTTTGTAGTATTTGGCGCAGTGGATGCTTTTATCTACTACTGGTGCTTGCCTGGTGTGAGTGAGTCACTGTTTTGGTGGCCACACTTGTCTTTTCCACTACAGATGGATGGAACCTCTTTCACAATGACTTTTTTTGGCGAGGGGTACAGTGAGGGGCAGGATCCCCAGAATGGCAAACCAAATGTAAAGATCTGCACTGAAGTGAAGGGACCAGGTATGTATGTTAGGAGCAGGTAACTGCTTTTGGCTCACATTCCCTACTGCAGAATTGGTTTATGGTCCCACTGCTATTGCTATTACCCTTGTGGAGCATTTGCCACATGAACAAAGTCGATGGCCTTTACAGAGTATGGCTTTGGATACTAGCATTTGTTGTGACCTGTTTCTTAAAACTAGTAAATTAATTTATGTTCTTGTGATTCTTTTTCCCCATGCTAGTTTTCATTTTTGCAGAGTAGAGCAGTTAAAGGGAGAGGGCTTTAGGGATAGGTTTCAGTTGTTACAGCCTGGACTGACAACATGTTTATTTCCAGTGCCCTGTGAGTGAATTTAAACATATCTATAATTTCTAGGTAGAACATATGTATGTTGAGATCATGCCTTTGAGGGGAGATGACACCTAAAATAAAGCTTGCAGACAGCAAGAATGTACATTTGGGAAGGAGTTAATGAAGCATAGCTTCTTTAGTAACTAGAGACATAGCTGAATGCAGCAGTCTCACAGCAAACATTTGAATTTAGGTACAGGATGGAGAAAGGTCTTGCTGTAATTGAGAGCCCTCTGTCATCTTGAGGTGATCACTCATAGTTGTGTGGCTATAGGCCTCTATAGCAAAGCAGTTTTTGTCCAGGTCAGTTCTTCAGGACTTCACCAGCTACTTGGGAGGATTCTTATATGGGAAAGCTGTCTGGTTGCTGAACAGGTTATTCTTCAGCATGCTGTAGGTAACAGGAAGATTACATTCTAAGTTTTAACACGCTCTATATTATGGTGTGTGGTGGTTTTTTTGTGTTGTTTTTTTTTTTTTTTTTTTCCCCCATCAGAGCCTGGCTATGTTGCTGCACCAATTGCAATGGTTCTAGCAGGTGTATCTCTTCTGGAAGATGCAGCATGTCTGCCTAAACAGTAAGTACTTGCCTGTAGAGAGTAGCTTGATCTTTCTGAAAGTCACTGTGTGCATATGTTTCTCTTTGAAAATAGAGATTTTTGTAACCCTGTGGATTTCCCTTTTACCTCACCCAGATGGCTGGGCAAGGGAGACCCTTCACCAAAAGCTGATTTGAAGCCACTTACTCTCATCTTCCTTTCAGTCTGAAAGGATGTAGTCATAGGGTTTTAGTAATGTTTTTGCAGCATCTGTTCCATCAGTTTCTACCTTTTAAGTTAATAGAACTGTTTATGTTGAGTGTGCTGGACTGAAAGAAATCCAAATGTAACTGCCTTGCCAAATTCCTCATATGCTTTCCTGTGGGATGGTGGCTTTTTCTTTGTGAGGGAGAGAAGCACATCTGTGACTTCAAAAAGAGATGTCACTCAGTCACTGTACCACTAGTGTTACTCTCGTTTGATTTTCATTAACAGGGGTGGTGTATATTCTCCAGCAGCTGCCTTCTCCAAAACAAAACTGATTGATCGCCTCAACAAACGTGGTATTGAGTTCTCTGTTATTAGCAAGGCTGAAGTCTGAAGTCAAAATATAACTATGAACTAACACCTTGCCTGGGTCTATCTCCAGTAAAATGCACTTGGCTGTAAAAACCTAATTGTAAAATAGTTTTGCTGTGCTATTGTTTACAGCAGAAACAAGAAAAATCAAATGGAAAGTTATAATACTATTTGCTATAGTGAGCAAACCCATAAAGGGTATTGAGTTTTAATTCACAAGAATATTAAACCAGTGATTCACCTGGGTACAAGTTCTGGAATTTTGTCTAATTTCTCTCATCTAAGTTACTGCATAGTGGAACACTGTAACACCTGCTTCACAGTTAACCACAGCCTTCTTGCTTTGTCCCATTCCACAACTATTAAAAGTAGGCAGGCCCTGGATAACAAGTGCCTTAGCAGATGAAACCACTAGTTGCTCCTAATGCCTCTTTGGGATAGATGCCATTACTTTATGGTGTTCTTACTTTAAAACCCTTAGTGCCCACAGTGAAATAAAGAGTAGTTGCTGTTTCTTAGAGTTTAAGGAATAGTTTTGTCTTTTTTGCTGAGACTGTAATAAAGATCAGCTGGCTCTCTACTGTTGTCTTAAGGTGCGTTGACTTTAATCCTTAACTGCTTACTTGCGGTGAGCTGTGTTAAAAAAGGAGTGAAGAGAAAGCACCAAGATTAGAGTTTCTCCATGTGAGGGTGGCCAGAAGTGTGGTGCTTCCTCTCCTGATGGAAGCTGGGCAGACCTGTGAGCTGCTGGTGCTGGGGAGCTACCATAATGATGACTTGTGTAAGCAAAAAACCCTTGTGTTTTGATGCGCCTCC